TTTGGAGCCAAATGGTGACAGTAAGAAGGAATGGCACCCTCAGGCAGTAAAGGAGATTAAACTAGAAGCTTTTGCATCAGGTGGAAGAAATTCCATTTACTCTTTGCTCGGCTGCAAGGGAATGGCAATCAACACTGTTCATGATTTGCTCTATCAACAGAAAAGCTAATTGTTGGTGTAATGCCTAACTACAGCCCGGAACTGAATGAGGGTACTTGTTTCTTGACAATACAGACCCGAGAAGTTCCTCTCTTACCTAACAAGGCCTGAGATTTCAGGAAGAGTGAAACTGCACAGAAAGTAGGACACCTTTATCCAGTCACTACAGAGATGGTTTTAGCTGCTCCTTTGTCCATTGTTTTTTCCTCCTGTCACTTTAGTTTTCCTGGTTTCATTTTGAAAAATTTCAAACTTACAGAAAAGGTGGAAGAATAGTACAATAGTACATTATACACTCTTTGCTCAGTTTATGGATTATAACACTTACTGCATTTGCTTTCTGTCGCTCTCTAAATATACAGTGACATTGTGTTGGCCAAACCATTTGAATGTGAGTTGCAGACATGACACATCACCCTTAAATTCTGCAGCCCCCAAATGTCTTTTATAACTTTTAATTAAAATATTCAGTTAGAGTTCAAATATTGAGGCCCTAATCCCCAACGTGATGGTATTTGGAGGGAAGGCCTTTGGGAGGTACTTAGATTTACATGAGGTCGTGAGGGTCGATCTCCCCCATGACGAGATTAATGTCTTCATAAGAGGAAGAGACCAGCGCCCTCCCCTCCACTCTAGAGCGAAAAGACATCTGTCTGAAAACCAGGAGGGTTCTTCTCATCATGCACTAAATCGCCCAGTTCCTTGATCTTTGGTGCCGTCTCTGGCACTGTGACATATGTCTGTCATTTAAACCACCTTGCCTGTGGTTTTCTGTTACTGCAGTTTGAGCAGACTGAGACAAATGTCCCATAATCCATGATCATCACTCTTTTCTTTAATGGCAAATTGTCCCAAATTTGGCACTTGAAGCCAATTTTTGTGTCCCATCAGTCTTCGGGCATTTTTTTCTTTCCTGACTCAAGATGTTCCAAGCTCCCCTTCTACTTTATCTGTCCCAAACCTGGAAATGACCATTTTCCCAAACAATCCTGGGTTCTGTGGAACAGTAATTAGAAAGCAAGCTCAGGACTGTAGGTGTGCTCATTATTAGTATATTAAGGCTTCTAGGTCATTTCAGAGGACAGGGACAGAACTGGGGGTGAGAGGAGGTGGTGTTAGGGAGGGAAAACACACACACACACACACGCACACACACACACACGTTCATATAAATAGCTCCAGTTCAAAACTGATAAAACAGCATTCTTCTTCATCTGCTTCCTTGTTCTATCTCCCTTCTCCCATAGTGAGTAACCTGATTTACAAGAACAACAAATTTACTCATTTCTTAAACCTATGCAGTTGGTTTCAGAATTATTTAAAATAGTCTCAGGAATATTTTCATCTTTAAAACAGTTGAATTTATCATCAGAGTCCCCAAATCATCTCGCATTATTCAGCAGAAATCACACGTAACAGACTAACAGGTCTCCAGACAGCAACCAGAGGGAACACAGCCAAGACTCAAACTGGACAACTTAGCAAAGGCTGCTGTGAGGTTTCTCTAAAGTACTGAGAAAAGGCAAAGTTCAAAACAGAATACTGATGCTTCCATTCTAACTGTGCAAAGACTATTTAAGCTGTTTTCCTTTTTGGAATCTATCCCGCTTGATGTTTGGCATTTATTCCAGAATAATCCAGTGCAGGCCAGGGAAGAGAGAGGGGAGCTATACAGAACAGGGGTCATAAGTGAATGAGGTGGCAATTGGGGGCTAGACGGGCATAGGAATGTTCTTTGTGCTATTTATAGTCTCTGTTTTTGTGGCTTTTTAAAGATTTTTATAGTAAGAAGATTTTTTAGATGACTTTTAAAAAATGTATTCCTGCCAAATCAGAGTAAGTGTAAGCTTAAATGGCCAGCTCTGACTTAAAAAGCAAGAGCTATGTGGCTGTATTATGGATACGTAGGAAGAGAGGGTGACACTCTAGCTTACCTCTAGAACATTGTCCAAGAAAGTCAAAATTTATTTTGGTAACTTAAGATCCCAGTGTCTTAAAGGCTAGACTATACAGCCAGATTACCCTCCAGTAAATAAAACGTGACAACCCGTGGAAAAAGAGTGACTTCCATTCTCCCCCTATCACTTGGCCAACTAACTTTGTCATAAGAGGGAGATTGAAGGATTAAAATATTCTAATATTTTGGATGGTTCATTTTTCCTCTTGGAATCGGTGGTTTAAATTCCCTTCATAGTCCATTGTGTTAGACTCTCAGGCCATAGCCAGATCTGCTTGCAAGGTGAGCCATGATTTAATACTACAAACGGTGTTATACAAGTCAGCCAAAAACTTGCAAAATTCAATTATGCAAAACACAAAAGCAGGTAACATAATCAGGAAGCGCAACATTGAGGCAATTTGAGTATGTTTCTGAGGGAAGAAGAACCTAAGAAAGGCTTGTCGGGTACCAGGGAAGCTGAACTTTGAAGAGACTGTGGCTTGCAAAAGCAAGCAAATGAATTAAAAATGACACCAGCGAATGACAAAATCTCTGTCTAGGAAAAATACCTCCCCTAGCCCATTCTGTCAAAAGCAGTGAAGGGTCAGGGAAAAAAAAAAAAAAAAGAACTGTAACTACATGAAAGAAGGAGTGGGGAAATATTTGACCTTTTTCTTCCCTCTTCCCTTGGGGTGGCAAAATGACCAGTCAGTCAGGTTTCTGCGTTTGGCCACCAAGCTGTCCAAGTGCTGCCTCCTGGAGGTTGGTTTTAACAGGCTCATGCACTGACCCCAAAATAAATACATACATAAATACATAAATAAATCCCACCCATCCCTCCCACCCCCGAAAATCTTTAGAGCATGGGGAGGCTTCCAAGACCAGAGGACCGATAACCACCGCCATTCCTGTGCACGTGCAGTAACAGCATTCAAATAAAAGCGATCATGCTCCCACACGAGAAATGGCCTACAAGTCTTAGGCGAAACCATCGCGTTGAGATTGCATTTAGACATCTTGCACATCTTAGCGAAGAAAAATGTATGACACGGATGTATTCTCCTCCAGGGATGCTTTGTTGTCGGGGCTCCAGTGTTAGATGACATGCAAACCTCCATTTTTCTGGAGAACTCCTGCTCTTTTGGAAAAAGAAATTCGTGGTGTACTGGGATATGGTACTCGTCTGAGATATTTAAGTTAAAACTCCAGGAGGAGCAGCTTGCTCTTGCCCTCATCTTACCACACTCTTTCCACACTGGGACAATTATTTCAGCCTGGGCAGAGGACATATGTCTCGCTGGCTCCAGGACTAGCCCAACCGGGCAGCAGGACGGTGTGCCCTCTCCAATGGCCAAATTTCTAGACAGGCTATCTACCACTTTCTTAAAAAAAAAAAAAAAAAAATTCCCCCTCTTTTTGTCCCAACTTCACAGAGAACAGAAGGATGCCAAGATTAGGATGCAGGTTTCAGTCTTCAAGATTTCTACATCAAAAATTCTGGATATCTTGTAAACCATGTGAAGAAAACAGGTATATTAGGCTGTCTAAGGTTGAACTGTTGGAGTTGTTAGAAATAATTTTGCATGTTTAAAAAAAAAAAAATGAGGCGCCTGGCTGGCTCAGTTGGTAGACTGTGTGACTTGAGGTTGTGAGTTCCAGGGCCATGCAGGGAGTAGAGATTACTTAAAAAATAGAATCTTAAAAAAAAAAAAAAATTTACATGAAGTTTTCAGAAATGTCTCATTTATTTCAGCCAAGATCTCAAAAACAATAAGCCAAATTATAGCAGAAAAGTGTGGGCAAAAATAAACCCTATCGGAGGAAATCGGCAAGATTCCCAACTGCCTGGTTGTGAGTGTAGCTTTGTGTGTAGAAGTATATCATCGGGCCAGGGGGTACCCTGGGAGTGGACATCTTGCTGCAGGACAAGGGAAGACTCCAACTCTAGGGTCTTGAGCCGCATTAAGATATGGTCACTGGTTGGGTTAGAAAATTCAGAGGTCAGTTCCAGAGATGAAACTGTTAAAGAATGGTATTCTAGGAAGATCTGATCTCTGAATTCTAAAGAGTATCACTGGTTAAGCAACTGGACTAAAATGAAGGGCTACAGTAGACACCACGAGTTGGGTCAGAAACGTAAAACATCCACAGTCCAGCTTTTCTTCCCAGCCATGTTCATTGCCAGTGCGGGAAGAGTCCTACTGTAGGGACTAAATGAAGACCAAGCAGTAGCGAGGGTTCTAAATTAGTTTTCTCCTATGGCCATTTACCATCAAATGGATACAAACAGATTAATCTGCCAAAGGAAAAAACCATGAAAAACTGATAAATAGCTCCAATTTTTCCCACATGACTTTATCACTGAAATACAGGTCACCTGCCTTGAAATAAGGCAAGAGTTTAAAGAAAGAGGACTTGCGTACCCATGACGTTTAAAAATATGATCTAGCAAACAGGGTCATTGAGATTGAGAAGTAATCCCATCCACTCATGGCCTACTCATGCTGCTCTATGTTATGTACCATAATTGTTTGCTCTCAGCTGGTGAACAATTCATGTAAATGACAAGCCCCAATGTACCATATCTTCCCTGCTCATGTGAATAAATTACGTGCACTATATTCTACCTTCCCTCGGACCTGGATGTTCAATTTGTAGAGAATTGTGAGTGTCCGTGCAACTCTGTGAGTGTCCCAGGAAGATTCTGAGCCAAAGACTAGTTCAGAGGCCTTTGCTTAATGTTTATCACATATATGGAGATGCTTTGGGGATATTCATTTTTTGGTCACAGACCTTTATTTTTAAGCCAATTTTAAGTACCCAAAGATTGAAGTTTAACAGAATGAAACAAAAGGAGAACACAAATAGCTAGGGCTGTGTCCATGCTGCTAATTCTAATCTTCCAAATGTCAAAGAAAGGATGTCTCTGGACTAGAGACAAGGCAAAGGGCCTTATCGTTTGTTGTTGGCTTTCTTGAAGAAACCCATATATGATTTCTCCCATTTAATGGGCCTCTGGTTTTAACTGGAAAAGCACCCCTTTTCACAGAGGAGAAGCCTGATAATAAATACTTAAGTAGAGTATATTTCTAATATACCATACTATCATCCCAGAAAGTCTTAGTAAATATAAATGTGAACTACTTACTAGAATAAGTAGTGTCTCTCAATAATGACTCAGTAATGATGTATTGAATGATGAATACCTTAAATTTCACCTCTACTTGTTACTCTTCTATCTTGGATATTTAGGACATTGATTAAGCCCTGCTGGTTACTAATTAGCCCCACAAATGACTAACTCAAATAGGACTAGCAGGAGAGTTCATCCTACTCATGCCTAGTGAGTACTCGTGCCTACTCAGGCATCCTAAAGCCTTTATCTGAGCAACATAAGTTACGTAGTTACCTATATAAACTCTACCCCATAGCCCAGTTCTGGAAAAACAGGGGGGAAAAAAAGAGAGAGAGATCAGCACCCATCAAACACTGCATGCTACTTCTTTTGCAGCCATTCCTAGCCAGCAAATGGGAAAGCCTTCATTTTTCAGCTCGTTTTTTCACTTTTCCTTGATCATCTATTTTCTTAATGGCAGCTTGGATAGCTTCTTGGTCGCCCAGGAACTGGTGGGGCCCAACAGCATGCAGGTTCTCATCCAGTTCCAGGAGAATGGGGACTCCAGTGGGTAGAGTAATATTGATAATGTCTTCATCAGAGATACCTGTAGATCAGGAGAGGAACAGACAAGACATTGAAGGCAATGTAAGAGGAGGTTCTCTTCACTTGTGTAACTGCACGTTTTTTTTTCTTAAGATTTTATTTATTTATGTATTTGTGGGGGGTGGGTGCAGAGGGAGATGATCTCAAGCAGACTCCACACAGAGTATAGAACCTGATGCAGGGTTTGATCCCTCAACCCTGAGATCAAGACCTGAGTCAAAATCAAGAGTCAGACGCTTAACTGATGGAGCCACCCAGGTGCCCCACTGCACATTTATTGAGTCCCATACTAGCTGCATGTCTGGAAATATATCAGATACTGGGAGGGATTTCAGCTATAGGTCCTGGAAGGAAAAAAATTCCCAGAAATTAGAATAAAACACCTTAGACAGAGAGTTGCATCACATCAAATTGTAGGATAACAGATACCGTTTGGGGCAACCTGTTATTCCTTCATGTTTCCTATCTAACTCTTGTAGGAGAACCTTCATAATAGCATTAGTCATAACAGCCAAAAAGTGGAAGCAGCCTAAATGTTCCTCAAAGGATGAAGGGAGAAATTAACTGTGGTAGCCATACAGTGGAATATTATTTGGTAATGAAAAATAATTGAGTGCTGATACATGCTAAACATTGATGAATCTTAAAAACATTATGCTAATGAAAGAAGCCAGTCACCACCAACTGCATGTTGGGTGATTGCATTTATATAGGAAAATCTAGAGTGAGACAAAGAGATTAGTGGTTGCCTAGGGCTAGAGGGAATAGAGAAAGTTGGAAGTGACAGCTATGTATAGGGTTACTTTTGGGAATAATGAAATTGTTCCAAAATTAACTGTGGTGATAGATGGACAATTCTGTACACATACTAAAAGTCACTGAACTGTATTCTTTAAATGGGTGAACTGTATATTATGTAAATTATATTTCAATAGAGTTGTTAAAAAATACTAAACAGAACCAGAGAAGTTAAATAAAGCTTCTCAAATCACCAGACTGTTAAAGCAATAAAATTGGACCCGGGTTTTTTATTTCCAAATCCCAGGACTTCAACCCTGGTTGTCCAAGGCTACTTCCATGACAGTTTAGGGAGAGAGGAGAATGTCTGTATCCCTGCTGTGCCCCTGTGAAGGGCTGGGTACTAACTGTAGCAGCTAGTGTTCTCCTGTTTTTAAGACTGGTAAAGAGCATGAACAGATTCGTTTGAGCTCTTTGAAACAGCTAACACACTGGGATCGTGATGGGTGGGCCAGGTTTAGGGGTTGTGATCTGTGACCTTAGTAAAGAGTTCTAGCTCTCTGGAAAGGGGCTGGAGCACACATGGGGCTCTCTTGTTTGACCATGGCCCCAGATCTAGCCAGATCTCAACAGGTCCTCTCCTTAGTAGCACCGCCCTCAAGCTCATGCCTATTGCTTAGATAACAATCCAGTTTTGTGTAGGACCAAATCAAAGAGCCAACTCAACAAAAACCATGAGTACTAGAATATTTCCCCTACAAAGGAAGGAGAGCTCAACAGAAATAGAAACGTTTCCAATAAATAAAGTTGACATTCCACTTTAATGACTACTCAAATCGTTCACACAGCAGACTAATTACTTACACATATTTAAAATACCTAGACTGGTTAATAATCAGTCCATGAGACTTAAGGACTGAAATTTTAAAATAGCAAATTAGGAAAAACCACAGTGAAGCCATTACTCATTACTTGATTTTGGCATAAGCCACTCTCTGTCCTGAGAAAGTTAAGCAATCAGAGGTCCTAAGGCTAGAACAATGCATCTGCACTGAATTAAGCCAAACTGAATCAATACTATATTATGCAATACCATATTATAAATTCATTAACTGGAACATCATATGAAGGTTAAAATGAGTGGACAAACAGCACAAGCCCTGTCTGATAACTGGCTTAGATTTTTTATCTGGCATCCAAGAATGTATTGAAGGCAATCATTGGAGATCTCACTCTGCAACTACCCCTCTCTGTCTCTCCCCCTCCACAACCACCCCTTCCTGAAACCCCAACCATTGTCTTTAATTCTTTTCTTTTCTTTCTTTAAAGTAGGCTCCATGCCCAGCATGAAGCCCAACGCAGGGCTTGAACTCGTGACCCTGAGATCAAGACCTGAGCTGAGGTCAAGAATCGGACGCTTAGCCGACTGAGCCACCCAGGGGTCCCTGTCTTTAATTCTTGAACCTTCACATAGGAGCATCTAGGAGTTAACTACAATCAGTCTAAATGACTAGGACATTTCAAGTAAGAAATAATGAACATTTATGGTAAGTCAAAGGAGTAACTCAATGCCACTATGGAGAGAAATTCAAACAATTTCATTTTCTGCATACAGGATTAACTTCAGGAAGTCAAATCTGCACCTATGAGCCCCGGCCCCCAAGTCAATACAGCAAGAACAGGAAACACAGCCAGATATTAAGATCACTGTACATATTACGACAGCACTCACTCTTGACCTTCTGTTAGAGGTGGCTGTGCAAATGCTTGCTTCTCCTACCAGGGTTACAAACTTCCTTGAGAACAGGAACCATGTCTCATCCATCCCTGTGTCACCTATGATCCTAGAACAGTGCCTTGGTCACTGTGAGAATTTAGTAAATGGTTTGTTCAACTGTAAAGACCCCTATTATGTGTTGGGTGCCAGGATCCAGAAATCATTTAGCTCTATGATCCACTATTACAACTGTATACATGAATCTACTTCTTAATATATATACAAGCAATAAGGAATAAAATATTAACTAAAAACTCTACTGCATAAAGCCTATACACGAAAGCACGCTGACGACTTTGCCAGAGGTATGGTATTGGCCGAATTTCAGAACAAGGTCAAAACGGAGACAAAATCTCCTCAAAAGTAAAGATTTCATGTGTCCAATCCTAGAGGCTGTATCCTGCACCAAGAACCTTGGTGAAAGATTGTTTCCTTTATAACCTTACTAAGAAAAGAAGAGAGCTGAGAAGGCTCTTAGCCTTGAAGAAAAGGCTGTTTATATTTAGAGCTAATAAACAGCTCAAATTAAATTTGTCCTCCATATAGTTTCTTTGATTTCCTCTCAAAGGTTTGCTTAAAACCTTTGAATCTTGGGAAATAGGAGGGAAGATGTTCAGGGAGGCAGATCTGTCACAGGATGAGAGTAAACCCCAAATACATAGTGCATATTTTTGGAATCTAGGAAAAGAGGGAAACCACTTCGATCAGCTCATTGGACTGGGAGGTACCACCCCGGCCCCGAGGTGCCTCTCCCAGGCAAGTAAGTCACAATTCAAACCCCACCAGTGGGCGATTTGCAGGGAGAGTTCTGTATTCTGTTGCAAAAAAATAAGAGCTGATACAAGAGACTCTCAATTTCATAGATGATCTGCCTATTTTAATTAGAATTCCTTTAGGGTTGGAGGCCATTATGTGCAACTTAAAGACAGGCTGGGGAGCAACTGGAAAGGGGTTATTTGAATATTGTAATGTGATGATAGCATCACAGCCTCTAATTTAGAATAAGGCAGAGGTCAGAATCCACTCCATGTTGAATTTTATAGTGAAAATAGCCTACAGCTTTTAAAAGTGAAGGTTTTTATAAATCAATGATGCTTCTTCTAATAAGAGAATGCTTAACCATACCAACAGGCAAGCATTTGCTCCACCAGAGAGAGGCCTGAATTTGCTGCTTCTGAAAATATCCCGCTAAAATGCCAAAGGTGATGCACTCCTCAGCTCCGCCCCCACAGCTGGCCCCAGCTGACCTGCCCTCCCTGGTTCTCTAATTTCGCCTCAAGGCTTCTCTGCTTGGCCATGTGTACAGCTGCACACAATTCTTCAGGGATCAAGCCTGTCATTCATGAGTCTCCTGCACGCCACTCTGATTCCAAACTTGAAAATGCCTAGCCCTGTGCTTGAACCCAGACTAAACAATCCACTTCCGCTGGCAAGAGGCAGACTACATCCAACATTCCAGTTCGGTCCCTGGCTTTTCCTTCAGTGTGGGCCCGCAGGAAACAAACAGGAAGTGACTATGCCAACCACAGAGAAAGAAACACACGCCTGTCTGGAACTCTACAGAACAGGATGCTCTTAGATACTAAGCCTGCGTCAGGAGTTTTCCTATGGTGCTGCTCTGGGAGAAGTGGGTCTGGATGCTTTGGCCCGGACTTATTAGCCCAGCACTGGTAATCGTTTACAATGTTAAAAATAGGTAAAGCCGTCCCTTAGGTAGGCATTTTCTTACTATATAATATCTCCTAAGTCTGTCTGAAGTCTTCTTTCTTCTGAAAGTATTAAGAGCTACTTTCAAGTTAAAGGTAATGAAATCTCCCCCATGATCTACAGTTGAAAAGCAGAGATATTAAATAAGTAATTAACAGGGTAGAGACTGTCCCAATCAGGCAAGAAGTGTATGCCGGGTGCTGACATGTGGGTCCTGGGTTTGTAATTCCTATACGAGAGGGTTGCCTTGCTCTGAATCAGTAACCCTTGCCTCACGGTACTGTGCGTTCTCCTACGTTGACCTATTACTGGGCTGGCTGCTTGTGAGAAGGATAAAAAGTCAGAAGACCCCAGGATGACTAGAGAATTTGGTGGCAAGTAAGGAGAAATCATTCTGAGGCAGAAAAACTTTTACTAGAGGAACTCACTATCCTAAGTACAAAGCTTCGTGGTCCCACAGCTTATAGATAACTCATGAAGTTGGGCTTGAACTGGCAATTTCCTGTGCTGTCCATGGCTTGGGTGCTGAGGAAAGACAGAACCAGTTGCTCCCGAGAAAGCATACCGGAGCCCTCCAGGTTAGTTTTCAAAGGCAAAGGTAGGTGTATGTAGACACCTTCCTTTAATTCTACTATCTGACAATCAAACTAATCTAGTCTATTATTTTGTGCACCAAAAGGCATGGTCCCCATTGGGGCAATGGTCATTTTGCTGGGTAAAAGCAAGACTTTTAAACTGAGGTATAATTTACGCACAATGAAATTCACCCTTCTGGGTGT